ACAGTACTTCTTGATGAACTGGATTCAGAAAGATCTATTTTACTTCAGGGGGTTCACTGGCACGCTTTCAACAGCGTGTCTTTGGTGATGACAGGGATAAGTGGGCTGCTGCACTTATTTATGCAAATGAAAAGAACAGGAAATGAATTTATGTTTATTTTTTCGTTGTTTTTTTTTTTTTTTAAAAAAGCCCCCTCTCTTAACCTAACAGACAGTCATCTGTCCTTTTGAATGTTTACTGTTCATTGGTTGTGGTGCGGTCTTTAAGGTCCTGGTCTGACCAATTAAAATCAATAGTGGTGTGTTTATGAAGGCCAGGTTTCAGACGGGCCAATCTGTTGCACTGTTGACTTAAGGGATTTTTTTTTCCAGCTCCTCTGGAAAAGAAGAACGACAGCAGACGGCTCATTAACAGCCAACGTGTCACAGAGGATTCTCTCTTTTTTGTTTGTTTGTTTGTTTCAGTTAGAAATGTCAGGTACAGCGCTTTGTTTTTATGCTGCATTCATGTTTGTAGAACTGTTGTTGTTTGATTATTTATTAATCATTAGTTAAAAGTGCTAAATCACTTGAGCTTCTTAGGATGAAATGACCTGGATGACCGACGACCAGCACGAACACTTGAACCTTTAATGATGGGATGAATAAGAAACTTCAGAAATTATTTTATTTCTGACACATTTCAGTGGAACAGACCGCTTCATTTTTAGCAGTTTTCCTGCAGATGTATTTCATTGCAGATGGTTTGTTGCCTTCTTTACGAAAGCAGTGCCAGTGAATTTGCATTATTTATCAGCTGTTAACGCTGAAGTCTGGCACTGATGAACGACCAGCCTGGTGGCAGCATTTGTCAGTGCACAGCAACAGAGTCGGAGTCGATTTCAAGTTTACTTCCGATATAACTTTCGTCACCGAAGAAGAGGATTATTAACACATCACAGGACAATCTATTCTATACTTAAAACATTTGAAAATGCACACAAATAGAATATGAAAAAAAAAACTTTACGATGATTTTTGCCAAATACGAAAATGAATCGTGCATCAGGACGTAAGGAGTCAGTACAGATACAGTAGGGGGCGGAATGGGAGTAGATTCAGTACAGATACAGTAGGGGGCGGAATACAACTAAACCTGAAGAGTATTTTGAACTATATTTGTCCTTGTTTTCGACTGTTGCAGTAACATTAAACACACATTTGCGCAAAAGCAACACATTTCTCATATAAACATAATAAAACCCCGAAATGATCAATCTTTAGTTAAATTTAGAACTGATAAAAAAAAGTGCAGTCATTTTGTGATTGTCGTAAAATTTGTGTCAATTTAATATTTTACTTGATTGACAGCCTGTAGTGAAAAGCCTTTCGTCAGTTGTAACTGAGTGATAGCAGGTGATAACAGCTGAAACACTGGTGTTTGAGTTTGTTTTTATCTGGGATGAGACCCCAGAGTAACATCTTTCTTGGCCCCCGTAGTGTTTTTCTAATCGTAAGCGATTAGTGCCGTCATCGTCAACAACGCTGCCTTGGAATTGCAAACTAGGCCGAGATGCAGCAAAGAGCATTGTGGGATGTTTGACCCGCTTTCGGCTTCCTTTTCATTGAAGCTGGGTCGTTAAAGACGAGCGCTATCTTCAAAGTGAGCGAGGGTCTGTCACAACTGTTTAGCCTGTGCACTTAAACGTGTTAAATGAAATCTCCTGAAACGAGGTGAATGAGGATTCTGTTCCTCCTCTCAACGCTGCTGAATTATTCATACAGCTGCTGTAGAAGTGTGTGGCGTAACACGGAGCTGCCGACTGCTGTGAAGCTGGCATGGCAACCACTTAAAATAGGGTCTCATATGTACTCGGAGCTGTCAATCATTGGCTTGATTTATCATGAGAGTCTGTCCCCTGTATCACTGTGTGTTTTTGCTACAGTACGTGCACATGTAAATACCTGCGTTAAAACCCTTGTCGTGACGACGTTTGGCAACTTTATCAAGTTCAGATGACTCTCAGGGTTGTGATGGGAATCGAGCTGTAAAAAGAGCTTTTCACTATGACTACAACTGTCACAACTCTCCCTAGCTAACCCCGAGAAGCTAAAGTAACCAATCAGAAGAACAGTGATGCCTTCAGTGTCATCTGAAAAAGTCTTCTTGCAGCATTAGAGCAACAGCTAAATCCAGAACTGATGGTGCCAATAATTCACCCAGCTTTACAGCAGCTGGGGCTGTGCTGTCTTAGGTCTGCAACCCTTATGATATCTTTTGTTTTAAATTTCAAAAAACGAAATAGAGGGGGAGAGGAGGGTTAAGTATTTAAAGTAAAAGTAGTAACTTAAAATATTAACACAGTGCTGAACATCTTTAAATCATATATCCATAACTATGATGAATATAAATTTGTAAAAAAATAAGAATAACTAATTAAGTTTGGAGACAAAACATGTCCTTTTGTCCACTGGGGAAGAAATGCCAGAAACCAAGGAAACGTTTAACGGAGAGCAGTCTGGTTCACTGCACAGCCAGCTGGGCCTTATCAGTGTCGGTGGCGTATCTGCTCTATGAGGATGGAACCTCATCCAGAACCAGGAGTTGGCTGATTACAGTTGGTGGTATTAGATAAGCACTTCATGCTTAATGAATGAAATCATTAAATTTTGTTAATGAAGACGCCTCCGGCCTCAGCGGAGATGGAGTCTAATACAAAATTGTATTTGCAGATCCAATCTGCAGCATAACCCACCTCCACACCCCTGGTTCCTGTCCTGCTGCCTCCTTGTTATTATCGTGTAGCGAAAACACAGCGTCACGCATGTGCATCGTTGCCTCTGTGTGTGTGTGTGTGTGCGTGAGTTAAACTAAGAAACTTGTGAACTTTCTCTGTTTGGCTAATTGCAGTGTAGGAGAACAGTAACTCCAGACTGAACCTGATGTGAGCTGCTGTGGTTTCGTTGCCGTTTTCCCTCCTTTTGCATATCAATAGGTCTGTCTGCTGTCAGTCACATCAACTGCTGCTTTTTGGCGCCGAGGTTCGAGTCTGGAGGAGCTGTCGGTACATTATAGGCACAGCCGCACGTGCCTATAAATAGCGCCTGCATGATTATCCCATCACATGCACCTGTACACCATCATTAGCGATGACATCAGAGACGCAATCATATAGGTTAGAAGGCTGGTACCAAGAGGCACTCAGACAAACGTCGCGTTCAAGGCTTAAAAATAAACTTCATGCAAACGTTTAGCACAAAAGCGAAGAATGAATCGAAGCTCTGAAGCATGCTCTAAAGCTAACTTTTTGGGTCGCAGCTTAGCGTTACGTTACCTTCAGCCTCACTACCACACACACACACACATATATATATCTATATATATACTGTATGCCTAATCTCAATCTTTACCCTAACTCCAATCTTAAATCTCAATATGTCTCGACTAGAACAAAGTGTCCCTACAGCAAAAGAGTTTTCATTAAAAATGTCCCTACCGGTGTAACTTCACCACGAACACACACACACACAAGCGCACAAAGAGCATTGCCAAATATTGATTCCACCAGAGCATTCTACAGACGCTGACTCAGCAAAAATAATCATCATATAAGGGCTGAATTGCTGCCTCGTACAGATGGCTTATTGCAGAACAATGTGGCGAGTGAGTCAGTTTCTCTGTCAAATCTCAAATGCCAGAGTTTGAATTTTTCGTAATTTAGCAGAAAATGTGTCATCGTTTCCTTGGAGTCTGTTCCTTACATCCCTTCACCCAGACATTTTCTTGCTGTTGTGAATGATTTCACTCTCCACATTTTAGTGTATGGTTGTCAAGTGGTTGAAATCCTTTCCAGTAATTTTCCAGTAACTGCTGCACACACTGATGTGTTGCTCACTGAGCTCAGACTGTGACTGGGCAAAGAACGGGCAAACTCAGTTAAGTTGAACAGTAGATTGTAATGTTCAGTATCAGAAAAAAAGTCAAAAATAATTAGATCCTTTACCATAATCTCACCATATTACCGTTTCTGAAATACAGTGAAACATAAATCTATGTTTGTCTGTAGTAACACATCGGAAAAGAGTTGTGAAACAGCAGAGTAAAACTGAAATTCTTACACAAAAAACAAAAAAAATTCTTCTACTATCATGTGTTCAGCTAACGTTCTGTAACGAAGCAGTTCACGGTTGACAAAAAGAGTGCACCATTTAAGCCCTACCACTGCATTTGCTATGGCTTAGCTAACAAATATACTTACCTAACAAATATGGTTTAAAAACATGACTGCATCATGGAGTTGAGTGTTTGTTGGATTTTTAGAAACTGTTTATAGTTTGTTTGTTGGCATGAGCTTTTTGCCTCTAATGTCATTCCAAAGGATAATAGCTCAAAGCTAAAAAACCCTCTTAAGAGTGTGATTTCAGAGCAGGAGTTCAAGCTCCAGGTAGAACTCAGCCAGACTCAGGGGTAAAATAAATGTTATTTTTAAAAAGCTTAGAAATCGTCAGAATGGTTGTGTAAGTGTCAGAGCTGAGGCTCAGGGTCGGGAGGAGTAGCCCGAGGCTCCGAAACAGAAGCAACACGTGAAATGAGTCACAGCTAATGTTTGTAAGAGAGAGAGAGAGAAAAAAAACAGTGAGGAAATGTTTAAGACTGGAGAATCAAATGTGTCGGTGATGCTTTTACAGCGTACAGTGGCCGTTTTGGATATTGATTAAGGAGCTGATTGTTTTTGTACTGCAACTTCAGCATACAGTACATTGTGTGTGTGTATGCAGGCAGGCTGTGCGTATTTGAATTTATCTAGAATTATGGAAGACTGGTGGGCGAAAAAGCTGCTTTTCTTGCGTTTCACATTATGAAGGTCAGAACTCTAAGGAAGGGCCTCGAAGCAGATGGAGGTAAAGATGAGTGTGAGGGGGTGGATGAGTGACCTGACTCTCTCTCTCTCTCTCTCTCTGTCTTCTGTTTCTCATTTCTCTCTCCTTAGGATTAAAAGAATTAGCCAAATGTACTTTTACTGTAAATGTTCCTCGCCAGTTGTATATAAGATTGCAAGAAACTAAACTGAGTTTGTACAGTTAGGGGGAGTTGTACACCGCAACACTGCTTTATCATAAAACTTCAAACAGCCTCCGTATACTGTACTCTATGTCAGTGGTTCTCAAACTGTGGTACACGTACCACAAGCGCTCTCTAGTGGTACGCGGGAAAAATTCATATTTTTTCACATTTACATTTTCAATTGAATAAATCTGAAACATCCCATGCACAGTTAATACAACATTTAAACAAACATCTTTATAAACATCTCTCCTGTGGTGGAAGCTAACAGGGAAGGCCTACGCTGCTATATGCTAATGTTGGTCATCATGGTGGTACTCGGAGAGTATAAGAAGTTTGAGAACCACTGCTCTATGTCAGATTTAAAAATTGCCCATTCAGTACACATTAAATTTTCATAGACTGATCTAATCTACCAACATCTTCAGTCAACCTGGCGTCAGATCAGGGACAAAGATTCAGCCTCAGACACTGGCCAAATATCGGCAATGCACGGACGATTTTTTCCATTTCCTGTGGTTCCTCCCACATACACCAGAGAAGCCTGAAGCTACAGTGACTTTCTGTGCCCAGCTGTGAACCCACACCGGCCACAATAAGTAAAGCTCTTCTCTCAGGGCTTTTTTTTTGTCCGACTGGATTCTGGAGATAGAAAACGAGGAGAGCTGCACGCAGAAAGGAACCAATCAGCACTCATTTGTTGGCGACCTTGACCCCGCTGGCCTGTAAACACTGCACAGCGGGGACATTTATGTGGCGAGCGCACATGTGCTTCACGTGTGTGTGGGTGCGTTCCTGGCAACAGCCCTGGCACACACCAGCCATTAATTTTGTATAATTGCATCCATTTGTGTGGAAAGCGGCTGTGGAGCGTCGGTAAAACTGAAGCTGACCCTCGCAGCCACTTGACGGAATGTAGCGAGACATGTGACGTCAGGTGGTATTTGCCGGTAGCCATGGTGATGTGGGATGGCGAGGTTGCTTTTGTTCGGCTTTTGTCAACACTGAACGTGTCAAGGCTGAAACTAAACGGCTGCAATTCTGCCTGTTGTCAACAACTGCACTGGAAAATACAAAAGCCACGGAGGAAGTTTGACTCAGTTTGACTCTCCTCTGTTCCACTGTGCTCCGACTGTTAACCTTAAATCTATTCAACATTAAAATACAAATCAACCACACTGTTAGTCTGACTAATATCTATGAACGATACACTGCACGTGGGCGTCGTTTATTCTGTGCCTGTTTTACTGGAGGGTTAGATGTGCCTTTGTTTCAGGATGAAACAGATTTATTTTTTCTAGAGCTGTCAAAATGAACATGGGAATGGTGTCTATTAATTTATAATGAATTTTAATACACCAACGGAATGATGTGCTCTGTATATTTAATAATTCCACCGTTCATTCATACACAGATCAAATAGTGATTGTGAGTTGATTGTTGACAGATAAATACTGTTGTGGTTCAACACCTTCACTGCAGTCCTGTTCTAGATGCACGGCAACAACTAAACTCCACCAACTCTATGAAGCTTGAAATATGATATTTCTACATTAATTTGGAATTGATTTGGAATCTGGAATCAGAGTAAAAAATACTATTTTTAAGAATCTTCTGTTTCTACTTTCGACCGCTCCCTTCAGGAATCACCACAGCCAAACATCTGCCTCCAACCCAACCCTGTCCCCGCCCTCCTCCACAGTTACACCAGCAATCTCCTCATGTCTTCTTTCACCACATCCATGAATCTTCTCTGAGCTCAGTAACTATCTTTTTTTTCTCCAACAATTACCCCTCCTCTCTAACTTCATCTCAAACTGCTCCACCCTAACTGCCCCTCTGATCTACTGATGTCTGATCCCGTCCATCCTGTTCACTCCCTGTGGAAATCTCAGCGTTTTTATCTCCTCCACCTCAGCCTGCTGTCTGTTAGACGGAGCCACTGTTTCTAAACCAGATATCATAGCAAATATTCGCAAAAACTATGTAGTTGAAAGTACAGAAGAATATATTCATATTTGTGAGTGAGATGAAAACAGAAGGCATTAGCACAAATACATAGAAAATAGTGTTAGAATCACTGGGGGGAAAAAAACCCAGAGAAAGTTCAGCACAAAGATAACAAAATAAAATGGATAAACGCCGATGGCTTTTCATCTATTTTTCCTTCCTATTTTTTTTTTCTCTTTGCTGCTCAGCACCTGCATTTTTTATGGGGGGCATTGACAAAAAGATGTGGGTGAAAAGAGCCTTGAAGCAAAGGAGAGAAATAACATCTGTTCCATCAGGTTTGACAAACTCTCTTTTAACAGAATGTCACACCTGAGGATCCTCCACTGAGGAAAAAAAAAACAAGAAATGTGTCGGAATGTCTTCCTCCTCCACACCTCTCCGTCGACATCTCTCTGTCTCCACTGTCCGGTCTAAAATGTTGTAGCTTCTCTACCACTATTTGTATCCAGTGACAAATGATGCCAAATCACACAACAATGCACAGCAGACAGAGCAGCAGCCAATGATCCGCCAACACTAACCAGCTGGACTCTCGGTCGGTCCGATTCCAATTTTACTAATTTAAAATAAATAAATAAATTAAAAGCTTGAATTGATGATAAGGAGGGGACAAAAAAGAGCGTATTCATCGTAATTAGGGACGTAAGAAAACATCATCACACTGAAATATCACGATATTTTGTTTCACAATACTATACCGATATTCTACAGGAATGTATCAATTTTGTTTTTAAAAAATTAACATGCAAATATTAATTGCGTTGGTTCATTTTATTTTGCTTTAAAAAAAGTTATCTTGCCTATATTATTGCAGCATATTGCAATATATTGTATTGTTGCCCCTGTATCGTGATACCTATCGTGATACAGCCTGAATTGTAAGTTATTTTTCACTGACTCACTGAGGTTTGGTGTCAGAGTGGAGAGACACCGGGTCAGGACCTAGAGACACGGCCGTGAAGGGTCTATTAGGGTCAGCAATAATTGATTTGATAATTGTTGGTCTGATTAGTCTATTAAAAATGAAATGTGACGCAGTGAAACTAATTAGAAATGTCATAATACTCTGCACAAATTTGCACGTGTCACAATTATTCCCGTGAAGTGGGTCAAAAAGGTCATGAATCTGGGTCCACACGTGAAAGGTTTGGCACCAACTGAAGGCTGACTGTAGTTCATCCTTGTTTTAAAAGTTGCATTTAGAGTAAAAAGCATGGTAAACAAACTTTCAGTCAACTTCCAATGGTGTTAAACATTACTGTTAAAATCCTATTTGTATATATATATAATTTATGGACTGAGTTCTTTTTTTTTTTCGTAATGTCTTTCTAGACGTGTTATTCCTTTTACAGTCTGGCTGATAAGTGAGGTTTTTGAAAAGCAATCATCGTCTCTTTCTCTCTCTGTCTCTGTGTAGATGGGATCAGTCTGGAGGGGATGGTGGTTCACAGAGCCGAGTGCAGACCGGTCGTCAACGACAACTACATGAAGCTGAAGAAGTGAGTGAACTTGAACGGTTCTGTCGGAGACATTAAAAATTCAGAGGAGACGACTTAGTTCTAATATTGGCTGATTCCTGCCGTCTCATGAAGACACCCCGGCCGACTGTTCCCCTCTGAGTGAAGTCAAACACGGTGTAGGCGTCTGGAGTTGATTTTTGGAGAGCAGACTGTAATAATCCACTACAGTGAAGGAGCGCGGCGCTCGGCACACACATGAATAAATCATCAAGTTTGAAGAATCACAATGGCACAAATGTGCACATTAGCGCTAACACGGCTGCGTTGGTTCTGTCAAACTCTGCTCTTCACTTTGTGTCTTTAACCTCTGGACAAAACACAATCTGCTGGAGTGGCGTGGACTTGATCCAGTAGAAGAAGAAAAGCCGCGTTGACGGCTGTAAACTAAACACTCTCATCTACTCTGGCCTTGTTTTTTGTTTTTGTTTTTTTGTTTCCAATGTTTTTAATGCTCAAAAACTGATTTTTACTGGAAACCCAGTTCTCCAACCTGGGGGACTGGATGGTATCGCTATAGCAACAGCATCACAGAGACACAGTTTGCAGTTTGAATTCTTCGATTCAACCTCTGTTTCAGCTCAGATTTGAAACATTGGAGGCTTCAATTTGCCTGTAGTTTTTTTTTTTTAAATCATTATTATCTAACATTTGGACAGCAGCTGACAAATGTTCCTGCACCACGACAGACTGCAGAGGACATCATGTCAGTGTGCACTGTTCATTTCTATTGTAGAAGACGACTCGCACTGATCGGCCGCAGCACATACTACGATAAGTGCTACTAATGTGACAGCGGAGGATAGTTTGACATATGTTTGCAATTCAAGCAGCGTTATCTTGAACAGATTTAGTGTCGGGGAACTCAGCCAGTCTCTTTTAAAAATAATGTTCAATTTTTTATAATTATAAAAGATAACCTAAAAATAACCTAACCTCTAAATATATATATATATATGTATATATATATACATATACATATATGTGTATATATTTTTTTTTATATATACACATATATGTATATATGTGTGTGTATATATATATATATAAATATATATATACACACATATATACATATATACAAATATATATAAATATATATATATATTTACTTTTCAGGTTATTTCTTTCCACTGTAAGCATATTTTATCTTTATCTTTATATATATATATATATATATACATATATATATATATATAAAATGGCATTTTCTACACCATTTACGAATTCATGCATAGACAAAAACTCAAGTAAGAGTTTGTAATACATCATCAGGACCATTGTATCTGAGATCAATATAATGGTAGTACTGTTTGTCTGCAGCTTTGTCAGGATGCAGAATAACTTGTATAACAAGTAAGAAGTTGTTCAATAATCCCGCAGCTACCATGGAATAATTTTGGTTAAATAAAAAATAATAATATTTAGAAGCAACACAAAAAGACAACAGCTGCAGACAGCAGTAGTTGACTCCACTGTCAGTTGGAATTCAGTAACATGGCAGACATCATCCGACTCACTCTCTGTCTATGTCCCACTGTATGTGTGTGTGTGTCTCAGGTTGCAGATTAAAGAATCCACCAAACCTCAGCGTTTATCACAGCAGCTGGAGAGAGCGGTCACTACTGTCTTCAAGCCAGTGGCCAACCACGATTTCAATGTGAGTTCTGTGTGTGTGTATGTGTGTACATGTACATGTGTGACTATAGAAACACAAAACAAGTGCTTTCACTGAACATCTATTATGTGTGGATACAGACGACACCACATGGTTCTTTTCTAGTTTGTTTACATTTTTTTTTAACATTACATTGAAAATCTGTGCTACAATAAATGAAAAAAAAACTGAAAGAAAACCACAAACAAAGTCAATCAGAAATGATTTAATTATCACCAATTAGACTTCACTTTAACTCATCAGCACAAATAAAATGTGTGTTGTTACTTTGCTGTCAATATTATAATAAATGAACATTAAGGCAATTAACTCAATACAAAACATTATTATTATTTGTAGTAGTATTTCTTCCATTACTGTCTGTTGTCTTTGTTGACTGAACATTTGACCGTCTGTATTCAAGCTGGAGTACGAGAAGAAAAAGAAATCTGAGGGGAAGATGGTGCGGGCTGAGCGTCAGGTGGTGTTGGACATGCTCTTCTCCGCTTTTGAGAAGCACCAGTATTACAACATTAAAGACCTCGTGGACATCACCAAACAACCAGTGGTGAGGAACACACTGACACACACACACACACACACCACACCACACCTGCCCACTATCCACCTGACTTTGTTATATTTGACCAAAACGCCCACAGCAGGATGTTCATGCTTGATCACAGCATTTGATGTGGCTGAATCAAAGCCAACATTTCAGCACACACACACACGTACACACAAACACACGTTTGTGTTACGTGAGCATTTCACATAGACATGATGCATTCCCTAGTTCCAACAGAAATGTATGGCCAACTTTAATCCTTACACTATTTCTAACCCAGATCAATGTTTGTTAGAACTGTGTAACCTCTCATAAACCAGAGCCACAAAAATAGCATTTTTGTTCATTATATCTTATAGTATATCAACGTGACACACACAAAAGCGATCCAGCTGAATTGACTGTCCATAGACTAATTTGACAATGCCAAAAAAATAATAATAATCTGATTTCTTGCAGAATAACTTGTATAACAAGTAAGAAGTTGTTCAATAATCCCGCAGCTACCATGGAATAATTTTGGTTAAATAAAAAATAATAATATTTAGAAGCAACACAAAAAGACAACAGCTGCAGACAGCAGTAGTTGACTCCACTGTCAGTTGGAATTCAGTAACATGGCAGACATCATCCGACTCACTCTCTGTCTATGTCCCACTGTATGTGTGTGTGTGTCTCAGGTTGCAGATTAAAGAATCCACCAAACCTCAGCGTTTATCACAGCAGCTGGAGAGAGCGGTCACTACTGTCTTCAAGCCAGTGGCCAACCACGATTTCAATGTGAGTTCTGTGTGTGTGTATGTGTGTACATGTACATGTGTGACTATAGAAACACAAAACAAGTGCTTTCACTGAACATCTATTATGTGTGGATACAGACGACACCACATGGTTCTTTTCTAGTTTGTTTACATTTTTTTTTAACATTACATTGAAAATCTGTGCTACAATAAATGAAAAAAAAACTGAAAGAAAACCACAAACAAAGTCAATCAGAAATGATTTAATTATCACCAATTAGACTTCACTTTAACTCATCAGCACAAATAAAATGTGTGTTGTTACTTTGCTGTCAATATTATAATAAATGAACATTAAGGCAATTAACTCAATACAAAACATTATTAGTAGTAGTGGTATTTCTTCCATTACTGTCTGTTGTCTTTGTTGACTGAACATTTGACCGTCTGTATTCAAGCTGGAGTACGAGAAGAAAAAGAAATCTGAGGGGAAGATGGTGCGGGCTGAGCGTCAGGTGGTGTTGGACATGCTCTTCTCCGCTTTTGAGAAGCACCAGTATTACAACATTAAAGACCTCGTGGACATCACCAAACAACCAGTGGTGAGGAACACACTGACACACACACACACACACACACCACACCACACCTGCCCACTATCCAACGGACTTTGTTATATTTGACCAAAACGCCCACAGCAGGATGTTCATGCTTGATCACAGCATTTGATGTGGCTGAATCAAAGCCAACATTTCAGCACACACACACACGTACACACAAACACACGTTTGTGTTACGTGAGCATTTCACATAGACATGATGCATTCCCTAGTTCCAACAGAAATGTATGGCCAACTTTAATCCTTACACTATTTCTAACCCAGATCAATGTTTGTTAGAACTGTGTAACCTCTCATAAACCAGAGCCACAAAAATAGCATTTTTGTTCATTATATCTTATAGTATATCAACGTGACACACACAAAAGCGATCCAGCTGAATTGACTGTCCATAGACTAATTTGACAATGCCAAAAAAATAATAATAATCTGATTTCTCTGTGTGCCAATAGTTGTACTCATGCCAAGTTTGAGAACCATTGGCCCCTAGAACATACTATATTGTAGCTGCAGTATTTCTGTTTATCAAAGTACTGTAGGTGGACAGCACTAGTACAGTAAATGGCAGACGGGGGGCAGCAGATGGCCTCGGCCACTTGTTTGTGTAAATTACCCAAACATTTATCAACATTAATGAACTTTATAGTTCTGTACTCACGTGATCTGACGACGAAGAGTGGCCGCTGCTACCGTTTATAGTTCTGTACTCACGTGATTTGACGACGAAGAGTGGCCGCTGCTACCGACGACGGGAGGAGGAGGAGGGTCCGGTTCTCGCTGTTGATGTCTGACGTCATCGGTAGAAAAGTGAACTCGTTTGACTGAATGTTTGACTACAAAGTTTGGTATAAAAGTTTCCCGTTTGCCGTTCCCCTCGTTTTCTTCTCTTCTCGGCTCCATTAGGGAAAAACTCCGTGTCGTTGAGTTCAACATCGCGCCAACAAGTTTGTTTTGCTTCTCTTCCTGGTTTCCTGTCCGCACATGCGCAGTTAGACGGAGTAGTCCAACTTTGGTGCTAAAATGGGGGTGTTTGAACAACAATCGCAAAGAAGAAGAACGTTTAAGCAGGTGGTTCTTAACCGTGTCGGAGGTACTGAACCCCACCAGTTTTATATGCGCATTCACCGAACCCTTCTGTAGTGGCCAAGCGGGGGGCGTGTTGTCACGAATCACAAGTCGGGTGTGTGTCTTGTCCTCTGCCGCGTCACGAATCACGAGTCGGGTGTGTGTCTTGTCATCTGCCGAACCCCTGGAGTTCGATCGAACCCAGGTTAAGAACCGCTGATTTACGCATTTTGATGCATTTTTGCGATTTATGATTAAAAACATCAATGAAAACTTAAAACAAAAATCAGCTTTTTCTGCGACGTTTTCATGAGGCGTTTAAAGACCCCAAGGAATCTCATAATGACCTTTGTCATTATCAAGAGATAATAGTGGCGGGGGTGGAGGGGGTGGTCTTAGACAAATAACTTTAGTGAGAGGAAGAAAAAAAATCAGCTTAAAGCACAGCCAGTTAAAGGCTATCATTCAGCAACGTATATAATTGTAGTAATTCACTAAAACACGGTTCCTTATAAGGTGTTGGACCAGGCTGACATATGGTTCACTGGTTGTTTTTTAAAGAGTATATACCAGAAAAAGGTATTAAAGAGGATAGTTTAAAAAATCACACACACACAGAGGCTGAATCGATAACAGAGCAGTGGATTAGTTCCAGCTGGTGAAGAACAGCCCTGTGTAGGTGCTGATGAGACCTCCAGGTCCTCGTCTCCCTCCCTGATTGCATCTGATTGCATAACCATCGGTTGAGTGGGAGTCAAACACCGCAATACTCTCCACGCCATCACTTCTCTGTGAAGGCACTTGGCTAACACACAAATTAACCAGAACCAAAGTGAGAGATCTACCCATTAGGACAAGTCTGATTTATCCACACAAGCCGCCGGTATCTCCGTAGGCTCAACAGAGACACCCAGTGGTCGGTGGAGAAATTGGTCTTTTACGACAGCTTGACTGTATTCTGCTGTGGGTTTTTTTTTTTTTTAATTATTATTCGAAAAATGAAGCTAAAAAAACCCACTAAATCCTTATAGGGAGAAAAACATGTGGCATCATGGGAAACATCCTGTACAATTTAGAGCTAATTCTCGTCTTTGTCTTTCTCCACTGCAGACCTACCTCAAAGAAATCATGAGGGAAATCGGGACGTACAACAGCAAAGGAGCTCATAAGAGCACCTGGGAGCTGAAGCCGGAGTATCGACACTATCAGTCGGCCGAGGAAGAGGAGGAGAGGAAGAGCAGCTAGTCACAGCAACGGCCTCCTCGCTGGAGACTCTTCATCTCCACCTCGGAGTTTTGGAGCTGGTTTATGTTGGTGAGACACTCGGGTGCCTTTGGTTAAAGTTAAGTTTCACTGAAACACCTTTTTTGGTTTTCATTCCTCTGAAGACATTGAATTACATCAGAAACACTGAAAACCGTTTTTCTATTTACACTCGTCTAAATTGTCCTTGATGAACTTGACACATTTGGATCTGAATAAATGTCACACTACTCTTCGCCCCGATGTTTGTTTTTTTCTTTTTGCAGGTAGCCACTCGAGATGAAGCGCATTATTTTCCTTGGTGTTTTTTGGGACACAAAATGAAAACTACCTCCACAGTGTTCAGCAAAAAACTGTGAGTTCTTCTTTTGTCTATTTCAATGTAGTGAATCAGACTGGTCTGACAGTTCTGGTTTTTGATCAGTTTTCAGATTTTACAGTCAACTAATGACTTTGAGTTAGTAACTATTGTAATTATTTTGAAGGACAATACACACAATACATATAGACATGAAAAACCTCTTAAACCGCGTTAATTTGTAAAGCAACTTTATTTAATTTTTTATTAAATGTTCTACTTTGGTGACACAGAAACCAACTCTTTCAATGAGGATCATCTCAGGTGGTACTTTACCCTCTTTACTTTTTCAAAGGGCAACGTGACCAGATGATTCCAGGAGGAAAATGTGAGTAAGTCTTTACGTTGACTTATCCACACATTGTCAAACATAGGTGAACAGACAGAACCCAGTGGATGCTGATGAGAACAGAGGCATCGTTAGGACAAAAAAGGCCAGTTCAAACCCACATAACAAACCTCCACCAAGTGTTAGTCAACGTTAAGACTTTTCCAAAAGAGAGGACAAACACCCAAGTGAAGCAAACATGCACGATCAAAAAAAAAAAAGGCGATATAAAAGAGTTCATTTACAATATACACACACAAAACATTTGTGACAAATTATTGACAAATATGGAATTTCAACAGTAGGGTTGCTCCCTCAGGTACGACACCCTGTAATCACAAATTACTTTAATGTAATCAGAATTATTTTCTAAATGCTGTGTTGAGGCGTTTCCAGTCACGTGATCAGAGCCGACCTCTCCAGTCAGTCTACGGGTCCAGGTTTAGCAGAGCCGCGGCCACAGTCCTTGACTTGTAATGTTGTAACTGTTACTTGACCTGTACGTGATTAACCTGAGGTGGTGCTGCTACAGCTGGCCGCAGTCTGTAATGACCAGCTTCTTTGTGGGCGGGCCTCCTTTGGTGCCCAGCTCCCCCATCTGCTGCACCACGTCCATGCCGTCTCGCACCCAGCCAAAAGCCACGTGTTTGAAGTCCAGGTGCTCGGCCGTTTTCAGCGTGATGAAGAACTGGGAGTTGTTGGTGTCGCGTCCGCGGTTGGCCATCGACAGGATCCCGGGGCCGGTGTGTCGGATGTCAAAGTTCTCATCCTCAAACTTGCTGCCGTAGATGGACTTGCCTCCCGTACCGTCACTGTTGGTGATGTCACCGCCCTGAGGAGGAAATGTGTGAGGTGAGAAACACAAAAGACAAATACAGTAGGTGTACTAAAGCTGGTGGTCAGTTAAGGTACTGCATGAGAATCTTTTATATTTGATAACCATATTTTCTGGACTAAAAACATGCAATTTCTTTTGTAGTTTTTAAGTCTAACTGGCTGAATGTGGAAGAAATACCGTCTGATGTAAAACTGTAAAAAGATATGATACAAATTTGATGCAACTAACTACATTATTTAAATCAATGGATTTGTGTCAAAGCTAAGATAAAAAAAGGATTAAAATTGACTATTTTGTTTTTCAGGATCTCCTTACCTGACACATGAAGTCTGGAATGACTCGGTGGAAAATGGAGTTCCGTAGTCCAAAGCCTTTCTCTCCCGTACAGAGCGCCCTGAAGTTTTCTGCAGTTTTGGGAACGACGTGGGAGAAGAGTTCGACGGTCATGACGCCCAGCTCTTCTCCGTCAGCTGCCACTTTAAGAAACACCCGTGGATTAGTGTCTCTGGAGTGCTCCTGGATTCTGGACATCTGTGGCGAGAAGACGCAGGAGCTGTCGTCGCCGGTTTGTCCTATTCTGCTCTGGCATTCGCAGAAGATCTTTTGGAAGGACTCGGCTATCTCGGGGGTTTTGAACTTGGCCGCCAACTGCTCCACCGCGCCCTCGCCCTCTGGTGGTTGGGGAGTGGGGTAAAGATAAAAATAAAAAAGATGATTATGTCAAAGAAAAACAAAGACAAGTTTTCATTATATTATTTCGTCAAATGCTGCAAAATCATTTCTACTTTTAAACTAATTTTAACAACTTATTTATTTTACTGGTTTTCAGGTCGTCACATCTGCTGTTCAAAATGTGAAATAAATGTGACGCTGTCCCAAATAATTGTGTTTTTTTTTTCTTAATCAAACAGCACTAACTAAAACATAAATCTATTAGTACAGAGAAATACAGAGTGTGTCAGTACCTGAGTAGTCGGTTGCACTCCACACCAGGGCATTAGCTGAAGCATTCATGGGCTTGAGCTCCATGGCCTGTGAGATGATGTGGTTGGCACACACCCTCAGAACCTGGTCTCTGCGCATCAGGATTCTGTAGAAACGTTTGGTTGGATGGAAGAGGATCTTGATGTCGCCGACGCCACGCTCCTTCCACTGGCCGAGGTCTCTGTCCCAGCGGAAGAGCTTGGTCCGCTCCTTGAACAGGATCTCCTCGTCCTCCTCGCCCGACTTGGTCTCCACCTGAGAATGAAACACGATGAGACGGTCAGTGGTGTGTCTTCACCGACCGGATAATAATCCACGTCACTGTACGACCTCCGGGAGTGAGACGATGGGTTCAAAGTGAATGTCCACGTTGTTGGGATCCTCCTCCTCTTCATCACTGCCCTGATCGTCGCCGTCTTTCTTTGGAGCCGAGGCTGCCGCGGAGCCGAACAGCATGGCTCCAGCGTCGTCCCAGCAGAAGTTCGAGTCTAACGTGAGATTCAAGACCAAATATGTGGTGAACACGATCGACGTGGTGACACAATGACACACACAGTTAAAATAAATAAATAAACAAACAGAAATGACTTCAACCAACCTTGGGTTCCAAATGCAAATTCATCTGACGTTTTGGCCAAGTCAGCAAATGAAAATCCACCAGCTGAGTTGAAGCTGAAGTTGATGGCCTCTGTGGAGCCAACAACAGGGGAAGAGTTAAATATTCAACTGAATGCCATATAAACTAAATCAAACTCAAAGTTAAAAAAAAAAAATTAAATTAATGAAATGTATTTATTTTCAGATCAAGTATTTAAACTAAACCATGAGGACAGTAACAAGTGACTGGTCCGTACCTGTGGTGGTGGTGGTGGTGGTAGAAGCTGCAGTGACAGGGTTGGATTCTGGTTCTGGGCTTTTCTTTGTTGACAGGTCCACTGGACCACTACTGCTGCTGCTGCTCTGGGCCTCACTCGGAGTCTCCACTGGCTGCTCTGAGCTCTGCTCCACTGGTGCTGCTGTCACTGCGATGTCTGAGCTGCTGGACGTTGGATCTGGTGTTACTGGTTCTCTGGTTCTGCTGGATCTTCTCCCCGACTTCAACTGGGCCTCCTGCATCGAAGGACAGAAATAAAATGACAGAAATTAAAGTTATTATTTTCTGGTTCAAACAAAAAACATTTCCACATCTGGTCTGCCCACACCAGTAATTTAAATAAAAACTTTTTTCTGTACCAGTGCCTGCTGAGCTTTGTGGACTTCAGTCTCAAAGTCCTCAGGTTTGTCATGATCTGTGTCGCTGTCGGTGGTGCTGATGCCACAAAAGAACGTCGGTGGAAGCTGGAGACTTTTGGCTTTCTCCTCCTCCACCGGTGTCGGCTTCTTCTCCCACATCACCTGGCAGTCGGGCTCTGGTCGCAGCACAGAAACACGTGTGTTAAAGGTTTGGTACAGGTGGAATAACAAATACTACTTAAGACAAAATTGAATTAAATTAAAATACTACTACTTGAAAGACAAAAAAAAAAAAGAAGGAGGCAGACATACCGTCAGTACAGACTGCAGCAGATTGTTTCTGAGGAGGATCAGCGTAGAGTTTTCCATTCAGAGCTTTTACTGCAGACTCATAATCCTCATCTGTAAATATTCACAGTCAGAGTAAACATTAATATACTGTACATTCATCATGTTGACAGGAACAACGTGTTGAGTTCCTCACTAAAAAAAACAACCTCTGCATTACGTTAAAAGGTTTATTTAAAAAAAAAAAAGGGCTGGTTCTTCTACTTTTACTGGTTCTTCTACTTTTACTTCCTGTCTCATATCTGTTTGACCTCTTTACTGACCCTTGGGCCACATGTTGAAAAGTACTGGTATAAGATATATACATATACATATATATAAGATATATATAAGTGGAGTAAATAAGAGACTCCACTGATGACATCACATTCTGATGCTCTGTGCCAGACTTCAACACACTATATATTTGTTTTCTAGTTGAACATCACATTTTTCCCCTGCTACACACTATTTTAAATAGAAAAAAACATCTCTTTTTTTTTCAAAATGATAAATCTTTGACTGCCATGACTTTAATATCTGCTTCATGTGATTGGCTCTCACCATCAGTCTGGTCGTCGCTGCAGTAGCCTGGATCATTTTTGTAGCAGAAGAAGGTGAGAGGCAGCAGCAGCTTCCTGGCCAGTTCTGCCTGTTCAGCAGTGGGTTCTCTTACATACACCACCTCCACCTCAGAGTCATCATCCGACTCCTGGCTCTCCTCCTTGGCCTGTTGGCCTCCTATAACACAGTCGGAGTTATAGTCAGACAGGGAAAGGACCAACAGCAGCAGG